GTGGCTTGACCGGAAGACTTACCGCAGGTGACCAGGCCCTGTGAGGATCGGTATTTGTAGGACTCTGTCCGGACGCTGCAGCCTTCCTCCTCCAGCTGCCCATAACAGCGGTCATGCACCCAGCAGCACCTGTCCGTGCAAAAGACTTAGATCCTGAGTGGAAGGGGTGCCTCCTCGACCCCCTTATCCCTAATAGGGGGAAAACTTCAACCATGGCACTGTAGCACAGCCACCCTGGTGGGAATAGCCTGTCGGGACAAGACCTGGCAGTGTGGCTGAGAGCTGCCCTGCCTTCCACAAGAGCCGCCACCAGCTAGCACATCACTGACCCACTTTTCTCTCCAAGAATCACAATTGGATGACACTTCCCAGCTCCCTTGTAGGTAGGTGCAGACACAGGAGTAGGTTCTGGCCAGGATGTGGGGCACAGGCAAAAGGGATGCACTCCACTGCCAGGCACCTCCAAAAACACCACCCACAATTTCCTCCACTTTCTCTCTTTCTCCATCTTTCAGCTGGATGGAGATGACCCAAAGAGGATTCTGAGAGCAAGGGGGACAGCAAAGCTATAAGACCCAGATCCCTTTGTCAACATGTGATTCACATCGAACTGTTATGTGGCAACAATTTAAACTTTTAGTATCCCTGGTTTCACATCTGTAGATTCAACCAACCAGGGATCAGAAATATAACTGGCCTATACAGGTGGTGTCTGTAAAACTTTTGTTTTTCATGTCATTATCCCCTGAACCTGTGGCCCCCAATTCCTGGGCCATGGACTGTTAGGAACCCGAGAGGCACAGCAGGAGGTGAACAAAGCTTTACCTGCATTTTGCAGCTGCTCCCCATCACTCGCATCCAGCCCGAGCTCCGCCTCCTGTCAGATCAGCGGCCCTATTACATTCTTAAAGGTGCAGGACCCCTAATGTGAACCCCACTGCATGTGGGAGGGATCCAGGTTGCACGTTCCTTACGAGAATCTAATGCCTGATGATCTGAGGCGGAGCTGAGGTGGTGATGCTGGTGCTGGGACCACCTAGCTGCAGGCACCCAAGCTGAGGGCTTCTGCTGATTCTGCATAATGGTGAGTTGTATAATGATCTCAATATACATTGCAATGGGATAATAATAGAAATAAAGTGCACAAGAAATGTAATGCACTTGAATTATCCCCAAACTATTGTGCCCCTCCCACCTTTGGTCCCTGGGAAAATTATCTTCCATGAAACCAGTCCTGGTGCCAAAAAGGTTGGGGATCCTTGCCCTAAATAATACAATATA